TTACTAGAAAAACAAACAAACAGTAAATCTGTCCTGTAGTAATTGGTGAAAAGGCTTTTGATTCATTCAAGAAACTGTTTCTTGACTTCCTCGTCCAGAAATCTATGAAGTATATATCCCATGAAAACCTGTCTTCCTTCTTACTCCATTTATTTTTATATTTTAAAATTTTTTTTATTTTTTTTATTTAAAGTGATATATTTTTAATAATTTAAAATCATTTTAATATGTTAATATGATAATTTAAAATCATTTTAATATGTTAATATCCAAATTAATTTTTTTAAAATAAAAAATAATATTTTAATATATTTTTAAATAAAAAATATTATTTTAATTTGATTCTATTTTGCCATGAATCACGGTTCTAATACCACGGCATTCCAAATTGCGATGATATACTTAAAATATAGGCATTTTAGGCTTTTCCCATGAAAATTTTGAACTCCATCAAATTATGCATGACCTAAATACAAAAGGAACTGCAGAAGAAAAGAAAGGTTGGATCCCAAACTAGATTCAAAGTTATTAAATTTAGCTAGCATATGACTTGGATGGAATATCAGTTGAAGAAATTAGTTTTTTTAAAAGTAACTAAAATAATTTTTTTTAAATCAAATTATAAATTTATCATGTTTTGAATTAATCTGATAAGTTATTAAATAAAATTTAACATAATTTTCACAATCATACTATAAATTCATCTTGTTTATTGATATTGTTGTGATTTTAAATCAAAATCGCCGTTTCCCCTTTGTTTGGAAGCCAAACATTTACAAATCTTTTTAAGAAATATTCTTACTTTCAACTAAAATCAAATCCTTTGTTTTTTCAGGACAGCAAACTCTTCAACGAAGGCACATCTATTTTAGGCAGAACAGGCCCAGATGCAGAATTTTTTTTGAGCCGAGCAGGCCTAGAAGAAGAATACTGCATGGAGAAGTCCATTTGACTTGGGAATCCAGAAGCATCTTGCTTTTATGCATCAGTCCAAGACATAATTTTAGCAATCTTGTATTCTAATATCACATCAGAACAGGCAGCAAGACATTGCTTTGCTCATAGAATCCTGTTCGCTACCGTGTAGGCTTCTTTGCCAGAAGTTCTGCTGTTTCATTTCCAGAAACCTAACGAAAATACTTGTCTTTTTATATGCAAGTTTTCCGAGAAAAGGATGAATTTAAAACAGAAAAGATGCAATCTCTAACCACTTGTATTATTTTTACTTTTTTTATAAAATCTTTCTGCTTCATCCACTGCAGTTTCACTGCCCTCCCACATAACTGCCACAAAGCAATAATGTCAGGATACAATTAAAAAGCTTTCAGTGATGCCGCCTTCTGGGGCGGATGATAAGTGTTGGTGGATCTGGTATACTGTCATTTGGCCCAAGATTATCGATAGGTGGGTGTTGCTTATGGTGATCGGTGACTGATTGGTACGCCATTGCTAATGCTAGAGCCTGCGCGTGAGGAACAGATACAAATAACTAATTGGTCCCTTAACGATGTTTAATGATGCAACTTTCAGTCACCATAAAGCTGTAAATGTGCAAAATAATCAAGGAGCTTACAATGTGTTCATGGTTAGGACGAGCCCAAGGAAGGACTGCACGGCAGCCATTTGCTTTGTCATGCCATGGGCCAACCTTTTATACAAGCACGGCAAATTATATAGCCCTTTAGGTCTCTATTTATCATAGAAATGACCAGATCCCAGATTTAACATATAAGGTTTCCTTTTTCAAAGAGAGCTGCAAAAACTAACTCCATTCTTAAATCATATGGTGTTATAGTAGATAGCATACCTGCACATAATCAACCGCTGGAATCACGCGTGCATGACGCAATTCAGTCGGCCATTGGTCCTGAGCTTCTTCATAAAGGTCATCTTGTCTGGTGCGTTGCCACTCATCAAATTGAGCCATCATCTCAACGTCCATGGTGAAATTTAAGATACCCTGAACAGAGTCGACGGTGTAGTTCAATTTAAAAGGAACCACATTCACGCCCTTTGACATGAGAACATGAACAACCTGGCATCTACATCCCAATGAATTAGTTCAACTTTATGATCTGCAATAACTCAATCTCAGAATTGCCAGTCAGTAAATTCAACAGAAAGCGGCTTATCTCGCAAGAATTTCATGATCTGCTTATGGCTGGTGTTATCTGTCTTTGATTTTCCTTTTCTTTTATGCCCCTGGATTCAGTAATGCGATATTTATAATGAGGAAATAGGTGTGCTAACCTCCATGTCGGCAACCAGTACCAAACACATACTTATTAAAACTTAGATGGTCTAGCGGATTGGTTAATAACCTAGTCGACCCAATCAAGCTACCTACGATATATTTTAAATTTTTTTTTATTCAAGTCCAAATTACTTTTTATTTAAAATATAATCATGATTTTTTATATGGTTAGAGATTTAGACCAAGTTAGTAATTAGAATTGATATGAAAAATCATATTTAGTATAATTGTTTGTCTAATTTTAAGGAATTAGTTAAACAATCAAGAATTGTTTTTTTCTTTTTAAACTTTGTGTCAGCTATTTTTTTAAAATAACCTAGTTGATCCAATCAAGCTACCTATGATATATTTTTAATTTTTTTTATTCAAATAAAAAAATTTTTATTTAAAATAATTTTATTTAAAAAATAGTCATGATTTTTTAGATTTAGACCAAGTTAGTAACTAGAATTAAAAAAAAAATTATTTAAAATAATATTATTTAAAAAATAATCATGATTTTTTACATGATTAGAGATTTAGACCAAGTTAGTAACTAGAATTAATATGATAAATCATATTTAGTATAATTATTTGTCTAATTTTAAGGAATTAGCCAAACAATCAAGAAATTTTTTTTTCCTTAGACCTTTGAGTTTAAACTTTGTGTCAGTTATTTTTTAAAAATGTACTAAATTAATAGAAAATAAATTGTGTTTTTTTTAATTTTTAATTTTAATGTTTATAATTAATATTTTATATTTTTAAATTATTTTAATACGATAATTGTTAAAAATAATTTTGTATAAAACTATTAATTCAATATATTTTTAATTAAAAATTATTTTAAAAACAATTATTGTTATTATTTTTCGCAGAAAAAAAAACCCTCACCTTTACGATACTTTTACCAAAAAAAGGTCCAAATAGAGAAGGTTTCCTAAATTCTCCTCGCACCATCCATTCTTCAATTCGTTGACCTTGACTTCAAAAATATTTAATCCACCGTCCTTTTGTATACTTTTCTGATACACATGCACGTACCCGATTTTGTGCAACGCACGCTGCCCAGATCCCGATTCCATCCAGCTACAGTCATGGCTCTTTTTACCCTTTCAACTGGACCCACCCCTTACTAGATAGAGCAGAGGAACTCACCCTCTCCACTCACCACCTTCAGCATTTCAGCAAACGCTCGCTCTGTCTTCTCTGCAAAGGTAATAATAATTCTCTCTCAATTTCCAATTGCTTCTTGAGTTCCATCTCTTAGGGCTTTATAGAGTTCGAACTTGCTAATTTTTTACTCTGTATTTATGTTTTTTTAACTCGGGATCTTAAGTTTATCGTCGGTGCTGTGTTTATGTACACAAGTTTGTTGTCTACAAGACGCTTGATAATATGATAGAAATTTTCATGCTCTGTATTTTGCTTGATTTTTGACAGAATTGAGTGCTCATATAATAATGCTTAAGGTCCCAGATCACCAGGTTGCGGGTCACCAAGGTGGTCATGGCCAGCCTGGTCCCCTCATTGATGATTCAGGGCGTTTCTACAAGCCTCTTCAGGATGATGACCGGGGCGCGATAGAGGCTGCGTTTTATACCTCCTTCTCGTCGAACACGAGGGTTCCAGATCACATCCGAAGATTCTTTCCTGTTTTTCACGGGACTCAGCTATTAGATGCATCTGATGGATCTAGCCATCCTGTTTTTCACGGGACTCAGCTATTAGAGGCATCTGATGGGTCTAGCCAGCGGCCGCACCTTGTTTTGGAGGATGTTGTCTCTGGTCGTTCGCATCCCTCGGTTATGGATGTTAAGATTGGTTCTAGAACTTGGTACCCTGAAGCTTCTGAGGATTACATTCAGCGGTGCTTTGAGAAAGATAGGAAATCTAGCAGTTTGCGTTTGGGGTTTAGGATTTCTGGGTTGCAGTTATACGGAAGTGAAGAGTCTGGGTTGTGGAAGCCGGAGAGAAAACTTGTTCACAATCTTAGCACGGATGAGGTTAGAGTGGTGCTGAAGAAGTTTGTTTCTTCCAATTCGCCAACTGATCCAAATTTGAACCCTGATTGTTCTTTGGCGTCAAGCGTTTATGGTGGTTCTTCTGGGATTTTGGCTCAATTATTGGAGCTAAAGTCATGGTTTGAGGATCAAACCATCTACCATTTGAATTCTTGTTCCGTTCTCATGGTGTATGGAAAAAAGAAAGTGCTAAAAGGAGGGAGTTCAGATGCTGAAGTTAAACTTATTGACTTCGCTCATGTCACAGAAGGCAATGGCATCATTGATCATAATTTCTTGGGTGGGCTCTGCTCTTTGATAAAGTTCATCTCAGAGATTCTTACTAGTCCCGATGAGTGCACAACTAAAGTATATTTGCAGAACTCTGACAACAAAAATGAGGAGATTCTTACCAGTTCCAATGAGTGCACAACCAAAGTTTGTTTGTAGGACAAGAACAACAATTGAATCCATTGAAGGAATGTAGTATTTCCAATGCTATAATGGTCAGGCTAGTTGACGTTTATGAAACTGTTTTAATGAATTTGCACAACTTATTGATGAATTTTCTTCCCTGCCACCATTCTACTTTTGGCTTGGGAAAGAAAATCAACGACTGTAGACCCTATTGAATTTTATATGCACCCACCACCTATTTTCTCACCTTGTTATTTTGCTAGTTCGATTCTTCTGGCTGGCCAAAGATTTTCTCTAGTTCTTGCTGTGTAGGACAGGATATCCATTCCATTATTGCTGTACATGTTATAACGTGGTTCTTGGTGATGGGAAGAATGATTATTTGCTTGAAAAGAAAGGACAGGGCATGGAAGGAGATGACCCATGGCGACTAGTGAATCGGCGCGTTTGAGTTGGAGAGGCCCATGGCTATGTTGAACAGCGTGCATGTTTATATAGGAAAAGAACGGACGAGTGTTTGGTAATTGGCAGGGCATCTTTTTGAAATTAAACTAGCGAAAATTGCCAGATTATTTAATCACAATTTGCTGTCAAAACCCCTAGGTCATGGGTTGCATTCAGTAGAGCTACTTTGCCTTGCTGCAATGGCAAGAAAGGTTGCTTACGCAGGAAATTCAAATACATACGTAGTTATTTGTTAGTGACTCAGAGATTAAACAGTAGAAACAGTGGGGAACCATCTTGGTTTGTATATTAAGAATTCAGGAAATCCAGCTGACTAATCTTTCTTCTAAGCAATGCCCTTCTTACAGGTTAATCCATTTGAGATCCAGAAGTGAACTCCAAGCCTCGAAAAAATGACTTGTATTTCTTGCAACCTCTAAAAACTGCGTATAAAACAAAGAAAAACATTCACTAACTCCACGATAAGAAACCAGGATGAAATTCACACTTTTCTTCTGCATTTTCTTGTGCCCTTGCATCACTATCTGCTTGGCAGATAGCGATAATCTTCAGGATACTTGCCCAACAGCTACTACAGGCAAGCAAACTGTCTTCATCAATGGCTTCCCTTGCAAGAATCCAAACAGCATCGTTGCTTCAGATTTCAAGTCATCAAAACTGAGTCATCCTGGTGACACAGGCAATTTCTTCCGTTCATCACTTACCCTTGACATGGCTGCGGATTTCCCAGGTCTCAACACTCTCGGCCTCTCAATAGCCAGGACTGACCTTGACGTTGATGGTTTGACCATGCCTCATTCCCATCCAAGAGCATCCGAGATATTCTTCGTTAGCACAGGCGTGGTGTTTGCTGGCTTTTTCGACACTCAAAGCAAACTGTTCTCAAAAACTCTCAAGCCAGGAGAAGTTTTTGTGGTTCCTCAAGGTCTGCTCCACTTTTTCATCAATACTGGCGATGAGGCTGCAGCTGTTTTCTCTGTACTTAATAGCCAGAACCCAGGGGTGGTAAAGATTGCCGATGCAGCGTTTGAGCTTGGTGATGAGGAAATGGTAGATAAACTAGTAAGGAAAATAAAATCTGCCGCTGCCTTGGAGGTCAAAGCATCCGGCATTCAGAATGTGACTCCGACTGACTTTTAACATATTCAGAGTCAGTAATCAGAACATTGTAAGTCATTACATGACATGTGAGCCAAGTACATACCTATTTCTGTGTGTTTTCTATAGTTAAAAGCACACAATTTGCTCAAGAATAATAGCTATGCAGCCGAAAATAATATGACTAGAAATCAAAGAACAAAGGGAGACAAAATTTAACCAGTCCAAAACAAGAACCCTAACAATTTTTTTTATTCAATAATTATTATCCAATTGTCAAAAAAAAGATAACCACCCTTTACAAAAACAGAAAATCAACATACATGAGAAATAAAACAAAATCTAAAATTAAAGCTGGAAATCCAAAATTAAAGAGGAAAATAACAAAACTGACCAAATCACCATCTCTTGGATTCTTTTTGAAGAGCTTTTCCGAACCTGAGCTAAAAAAGTAAGCTGACCCTCTATAAAACAAAACCTACAGAATCTACTAGCAAAATTTAAACGCAATTCAACTCTGAATCAAAAGTTATGATCATATTTGTTAAATAAACAGTTTAGCGCGGCTATATACTATTTCTTGAACTTGAACCTATATATCTGGTTCATAAACATTTGCAACATTCAACTCTGAATCAAAAGTTATGATCATTTTTGTTAAATAAACAGTATATTCTTGAACTTGAACCTATCCATCTGGTTCATAAACATCTGCAATAAATCCGCATCCAAATATTCAAAATTTCCTACATCACTTAGATGAATTTTTTATACAGTGATCTATAAACAAAATCTTGTTTGGAATTCATTCTGAGAAATACTATGTAAGTAAAAAAAAAAAACTGTATACCTTTTTCTTTGATGTTAAAAATATTCCAAGTGATCACTTGCAACTAAATTTTATACACAAATAAATCACTAAAAAAAGATCACAAACAACATTCTCAGCGATCACTTGCAACCTTTTGGTCTATTGTTACCCGTGTCTAGAAGTTTTTGAAGTTGCTGAAGATGATGATGATATATTCAAGATCATACAAAGCATAGTGATCAACTCTGGACCGACCTATAAGGTCACCAGCTCTAGAAGCAACCCATAATCAAGAGATACAGCTTGAGGCAGCAATGGAGGATGACAGAGGTCGATCTACTGCAGACACTTTCAATAATATTAAGAAGATAGAGCTTGGGGCATCGACAATTGTAACCTCTGGAATTGGACTATCACAAGTTCAAGAGGAAATAGATTCTTTTGAGTGCTTTGTATTTTATTTTTCAATGATAATTGAAAATCATTTCCCATACCTTGTCTCTGCAAGATATATTCAAAACACAATTGAGAATTACCACTCAAAAAAAATCTCTGCAAAATCATTCCAGCCCACCAATGCAATAGACCAAAGCTTGACTTCAAGCAAGTTAATGAAGCCCAACTTCAAGAGGCTCAAAAGGAAACATAAATGAAAAATAAGGTTCTTCTTACCGTGGGAGAGCATCGTTGTTCCTGGGGAAGAGGCTGATATTCCAACATCCTTCAATTATAAAACATACTAAAATATGCTGGGACCCGTCTCCTCTATTTTTCTCATTAAATTTAGCACCACAATCGGCTTTGTTTTTTTTTTCAAGAAAATCCCTATCAGCTATATAAACTGTTTTTATTTAAACAAATAAAAAAATGATAAAAAATGAATAAAAATTAAAGAAATGATTATAATAACTGGAAAAAATATCTTTATCTAATAGTAGAAAAACAATGTTATTTATTTTTCAGCTAATTACATATAAAAAGATTAAAAAATTATTATGATCATTAAAAAAAATCGTTTATTGAAGAGAGGAAAACAATATTATTCAATTTTCAAATAATTAAATATGGAAGGATTAAGTGGGGTAAAAAAAATGGAACAAGTTAACCAAAGCTAGTATGATATAAATGTAATTTGTATATTAAAAAGCAAGTTAATCTAGATTAATCCATTAAACCTGCATCTTAAGTTATGAGTTCGAGATAATTTGATATAAAAAAAATTAAAAAAAATTACAAAGGCTTTTTAAAAAAAAATGATGAATGATGAAATTAAAAAAAAAGCTATAAAAAGATACTAACCCTTGATAACTTTTAAAACACATGATTCAAGTCATCAAATTGAAAGCATCATTCATGGAAAAATTATGAAATCTACTCCCCAATAAATGAAATGTTGAATGATAAAACTAAAAATAAATCATACACAAAGATTCAAAATAAAAAAAATAACAATTAAAAGAATAAAAGTTAAAATCAAAATAAAAAATAAATTAGAAGCAACAATAATCTTTTATTTGAGTGTAAAATTGAAATTAATAAAGCTTTAACAAAAAAAAATAAAAAAATTATGATCAAATTGTAAAAGATAATTTATTATAAATCTGGATTGAATAATGAAATTAAAAACTATCAAAAGTTCTATAAAAAGATTAAGGAAAAAAATCAAAAATCAAAAGAATAAAAATCATATTGAAAAAAATAATATATAAAAATATAGAATTGAAAAATAAAATTAAAAACAAATAAAAATTTTATAAAAGAAAAAAAAATTAAAATTAAAATAACAAGAATTAAAGTTGAAATAGCAGAAAAAAAAGGATCAACCTCTATTTTGCTAGGAAGTAGAGAAAAAAAAACCTAAAACGGATCATTAGCGACAAAACATCTCACCTCCACTAATATGCGTCACAATATCAAGAAGAGAACGTGATAACATATCCAATGATACAATAAAATAATAATTTTAAACACTAAAAGGTGTTGCATATGTTATTTAGAGTATGTAAACACGTGCATCGCACACACCATTAATTTTTTATATTAAAAAATAATTTATCAAACCAAAAGATTGAAAGTGCCCTTAATGATATTGAAATTAATTAAAAAAAATTGGTGTAAAGGACTAAAATACCCCTTTATGCATGACTTTTTTTTTTGGATTTTGAAAAAAATTGAAAAAAATATTTATATCCCATATAAATCTTTAATCACTAATATTCAAAACAGATGTGAAATAAAAGGAATTGGTTTTTTCTTTTGGAATACCGTAGATATCCTTTCACCATGTAGTAATGACTAATTAAATAAGTTAATTTCCCAAAGTTTTCTCTTCAACTTCACTTATTTTTTTTAATTTAAGTGATTCAGTGGGTCAATTCACAACTTAGTTAAAATCCAACGACTTTTATTTTTTTAATTTTTTTAAATGATATTGTTTTTTTTTTTAACTTTTAATTTAAAACAACACCATTAAACAAAAACAATTGACCCTATCAACTCTTTAGCTTGTGACTTTACTTGCTTAATCCATCACCCGCATCTTGTCTCGAGTTGTGGGTAGAGCCAAGGTTCATAACCATGTTATGTAGGCTGAAAATAAGGAGCAACTTAAGGTTCTCCCATACGCTCAGGCTCCATTTCGCCAATATCCTGCAATACACTGCGTGTATTTTATGGCTTATTAATTAAATTCTCGTTCTATGATCCAAGCTGTCAGAACTCATGAACGCATTTCTTTGTTTGTGCTGGTGTAGAACATGCATACCTTCTCAGTTTCATCTCTGCTCGAAACTTAATACGAATTTTTATGATGCAGTACTAATTATTATCCCTTGATTGTTTTGGGAGATGACAGGAGCCTCACTACCAAGTCTTTGCTGTTGTATATAGAAGCAGCTATGGTATTGGACATGTCTGTTTGATTATGCTTTAAAATGTCCAGGACGTTGATGGGAAAGTTCAATTCTGGATGAGACAGCAAGAAAATATCATAGATAATAAACCTGGTTTGAGTTACTCGTTGAGCCGGTAAACTTGGATTAATAAAAATAACATTATTATATTTTTTTTTGTTTTTTTTTAAATTAAATCGGGTTTTAATATGATTAATTAGATTAGATTGGGTTAACTCCAAAATAAATCTTTTTTATACTTAATTTGAGTTAAGAGGGAAGCTGGATGGAGAAAGGCTGGATTTATTAACTCTAGAAAATATAATGATTGAATAGCAGGAAAACTAATCATTCAAGGAAGTTATTAAATCAGAAATGGCTGGTATCATTACATACTACTAATCAATCTTATTAAAATAAGTTCACTCTTCTATCCAAAAAAAGAAGAAGCTCACATTTACTTCCCTTGTGTATAGAGATAGGTTAGTAATAAGCATGGCATTTCGTCATGCTCACGCAATTTTCTTATATTTCCCAACTTTTATGGTGGGTGCTCCCCCATCTACCATAGCACTATCTTTATACATCGATATTCTATTCATGGTCCTGGAGCAGACTTGATAAAGAAAGCATTATGACAAACATTATGGTCAAATTGCAGGTGGGCCAAAATCTTTGGACGTGAGGGATAGTGCGATCAGAGTGGATTGAGCTCGAGAGGACTAGTCTTGCGTGTTTCTGCTCTTTTTTATCCATCGAAGCTTAGTTAGAAGTTTTCTTTGTGAAAATCAAACTTGGTGCTGGTCTTGTGAGAGAAATCTAAGGCTAGTTGGCGCAGCTCTTTTGTCAATGCTGGTGCCCCGCAGTAAAACACTCCTGCAATTGTGAATACACACAGATATCTCAATTTTCATTTCTAGAAGTGATGAATAATGCATGGCATGGATCCTGTGGGAAGGATTTGATTTGTCCTCAGCAAAAACAATAGTCTGCCCATATCTTTCTTTTCTGGTACCAGTATCTCTCAAATTTCTAACCTGGACCCAGTAAAAGCACCTGCTTTCACATTAATATACCTTTTTCATCTTCTTTTTGAGGAAGTGACAGTGTAAAGAAAGATTACTTTTCAAGCACAGAGAAGATTTTTACTCTTAAGAGCGAAGGACTTGAATATGCAAAAACTCTGAACTAGTTCAAGCAATATGGAAGATTTAGTGCTGGATCTTGGCAAAAACAACACATAATAAACTATAGGATTAGAGAGGTGCTCTTACCAACTCTAGAATCAGGGTGGTTAAGCGCAGTGCGCTTGTAGACATTACGCCAATCAGGCTTGGCGAAGTGAGACTTGACTCGTGTGCCAGAGACGATGTCCACACCATTCTTGGCATGATTTATGGATTGAAGCATGGCAATTAGAGCAGACCTTGCGTCACCCTCTTCATAAACACTGGTACAATAGTTGTGAAGCTCTATAACATGGTTATGGTCTTGCTCAGCCACCTCATTCATCACCCCTTTAAACCAGTCAAAGGACCCTTGCTCTCTTGTCACCCAATAGAAGTATGCTCGCCTTGTCTTGAAGTTTTCTTTTCTTTTTTGCGTATTAGGACTTGGGATTTTAGTTGATGGGCTATTGCCTAGTCCACCAGTACCATTTTCTACTGCATTTTCTTCTTCCTCGATCGCCCTAATGTTACTCACTATGTCCTTCACAATGCTGATCATTGGGGTTGCTCCAATTCCTAGACCAACAAGCAATACGACCTCATATTTTTTGTAGTCCTGTGCTGGTGCTCCATATGGCCCGTCAATCAAGACTCTTGGCAAACTGTTCATGGGATAAAAAATCAATACATCACTGTGTACAACCTAAACGAGAAACATTTTTTTCAAGGCAGACATCATTTTGGCTAGAGAAAAGCCACACGATAAAGTAAAATTTGCAGGCCATGCTTGCACATCCACATCTTGTGGGTGGACGTTAATCACATGTCTTTTTCAATGATGTGACAAGCTGTCCTTGATGACAAGATTCATCTCATCTGTAATTATCCACTCAGCGTATAATAATGTGTAGTCACTTGGATTTTGGACGCACAGAATCTTTGTAAACACAGTTGGCTGTTCGTGGCTGGACTAATTAAGTGCATGGACAAGTATTTTTCAGACTTGAATTTGTTGAATAACACGGTAAACTTGCTCTCTCTTTTGTCAATGATATTGCTAATTAAATTATCTTGTATTCTGGTGTGGTAAAGAGAAATGATGCAAGAGATAACTCTGAAATGGACAGCATCTCATACTTTCAATCCGAAGCAGGATTGGAGGTACAAATAATAGAAAAGCTAAAGGAAAACATATTCCAAGTGAAACCAACCATGATTGGTCTGGTGGTCCTCTCATTTACTCGGTTGTTTTCCTTCCACTGATGCCTTTTGCAAGTTAGGCTACAAACAGTAGACTATAACTGTACTCCACTGCTCTATATTTATGAAAGTAAGCTAGATCATCTAGCAGCCCTTGATAGAGTGCTTGGATGAAAACAAAGGTCATACCAGCAAGTAGCCAAGACACACAGAAAGTGATGCAAGCACTTGCTCTACTAAGGTAGGTAAACAGCACTGAGGTTGTCGTATCCCACCACCTAATATTCGCTCTGGAATGAGATGTTTGACCTAATGTAATGCTTGTAAAGTATTTGCAAACCAAGATATCCTAGCCCTCTACAGGGATTCCTTTCTTTGAAATGTTTATAATATCATCATTCATGAACCTCGTTAATATTTTTCTTTTCCCAGCATTTATACGTGAGCAGAAAATATCATTTCT